GGCGAGTGGAAGAGGGTTGCGGGTGTGCCAAAAACTACTGTCGTTCCAAAAAGGAGCTCCAAACAATATTCCAATGGAAAGTTGTCGGGATCAGGCGATTGAAAAGAAGTTTGGAATGACCACTTCCAGGGGTTCTTTCTGCCTTGAAAAAGGACTTCGGGATTGTTCTAATGCTAGTGGAAAGAAAGACGGAATTGAAAGTGTAGGACTTGCAATTAAAAGTGCTGTGAACTACTTGTTGGAAAGTAGGAAGAGAAAGTGCTGGACTTGTATTAAACATAACTGAAATACATTACTGGAATGTAAAGATAAATGAAATGAAATTGATAAATAAAGATGCTGTGTTGTTGTGTGTATTGAACAGGATTTGCATACTAAGCCTAAGGGTTCTATTTATAGAGCTTCTCATACAACAGTTGAGGGTGACAGTTCTAGTAGCTATTGAACCTTCCATTTGACCCTCCTTTGGACTGCCAAGTGTCCCATGTCCTTAGCAGTTACCTCTGGTTAGACATATGTAAAATCATGTATTTCCATGATCTATAACTTCTGAGGAGTGGTTTTGCTGGTTGAATGCTTGTTACAAGCATTTACCCACGTTCTGGAACTGCCAGATGGAAAGGCAGCGGTTCCAGCAGCAGTTACACCTTCCACTTGGCTTGTCTCTGAACTGCCAAGTGTCCCATAATTTGGTGGTTTCCTCCATATTTGGGGTTCTTTCTCAGAATTCTTCTAAAGTGTTGTACTTTAATCTTCACCCATGATTCCCAGTAACTTCCGGTAGTTGGCCACAATGGTTGAATGGAGAAACTGAAAACTTACACTTGGCCAAGCTTGTACGCTGCCAGGTGCCCCATGTCTTGGTGCTTTCCTTCTTGTGCAGAATCCCTCTTCCCCTAGAATTCTGAACTTACATATATAGATATATATATTACTCATATATGTACACATCATCATATATATGCATGTCTCCTTCAATTTTGGTAACTCCTCATTTGGTTAGACTTTCCTCTTCGTACGCCTCTATAGCATCATATATTCCACGATCAAGCAACTTCCATTTACATGCATGAATTTGGTATATATATATATAATTATACGCTTCCCCATTTTCTGATATCCACGTTTCTATTTTTAGAAGTTTGTTTTAATTCAGTATGAAAATTCAATGAACCTAGATATAATGGTTGCATGGCTGTTCGAACTTCCCTACAAAGTAGGAGAAATCATAACACCACGTTCCCACTTTCATTCTTTACTTGGTCAACCTAATCTTGAAATATCCTGGAAGTTTCCATATAGTAGTTGCATGATTTCTGAAGCAACTCCTATAATATAGGAGACTTTTTAGGAGTGGACTTTTACTTCCTTCAATGACTAAGTCTATTTTTGGCATTCCATATATGCCATAACCGTTGCATGTCTTTCTTGGAGTGAATCCTACAAACTAGGAGATATTATAGGAGTGAGGAGTTGCCATTCTTGATGACTAGGTCAAAGGTACACATGGCTATCCCGATGTTTGCCATGTGGCAGTAATGGACCACGTGTTCTTATGGTGGGCTTGTGTCTCATTGAATCCCTTCCACCTTTGATTCATTCTTTAGTGCCACGTGTCAGCATCTGAACGGTTTTATACTTAAGACTTGAGTGGCTAGGTGGAACTGCCTACAGGGTAGCATTCCTTTTCCAGTTGCTGGAACTAATCTGGTGTGGTAAGTTTCCTTGGAACTCGCCATATGTCAACTTTCCACTTGTCCAAATTTATGGTATTAACAGGTAGAAGATAAATTGTTTGTGGTATAAGGTTCTTTCCAAAGTTGCTATTCCCGTTTCCACTGTTGCTTTTTAGTCAGCTTTTAGTATCGAAGGTCGTGTCCTTGATCCATTCCGTAGTTCTCTTACTTCTAAGATTGTGGAATGGTTGATTTGTGCACATGATTGGTTATGTACCTCGCCGCTCCCAAGTGAAGTTGAAGCAAATTTGGATTAAATTGAAGTTCTTGACTCGGTAATTTTTATTTTATCATGTAATTTACTTATAAGCATTTGTTAATTGTTAACTTGAATAAAATCATTTACTTTTGCGGCCGTAACTACTGGTTGAGGACTTTTGAGATTGAGTTCGGGTAGCAAAATGTCACATTTGATGGTAAATCATTTTATTGTTGATAGATGTTTAGTAATTTTTAACTATGTTTTGCTAATAATTAGTAATTAACCACACATTTCACTTTTCCATGAACTTTTGTTCTTTGTCCTTGAAGCTTGAAAATTGGATGTATTTTCTGGGCTCTCTAGATTATAGTTATTAAACAGTTTATAAATTTGCCTGCTGTGATTGTTCTACTTATAACTTTGGGAATATTTTTATGTTTTGTGGCTGGATTCTCTTTCTGTTAGTTGTTGGTTTTTTAGTGTTGGAGGAGTTGCCTTCTTGTAAATTTTGGAATATTTTCTATTTTGTGGCCGGATTCTCTTCCTGCTGGTTGTTGGTTTATTGGTGTTGGTGGAGTTGCTTGAGGTGTTTAATGATCTGTTGTTATTTTATTAAATTTTTGTTTGGTTGTAGAAGTTGCCATTGTGCTAGTTTCTGTAGTAATAGTAGTAATCAACAAGTGTTGCAGTTTAGTTTTGCTAGTGTTATGGATTAATTGAATTAATAGGTGTTTGTATTGAATCAGTAGGTGTTTGGCCTTGAATCTCAAAAGAAAAAAAAAAGAAAAAAGAAAAACATGTAAATCAGTAATTATTTCACTTGGTGTAATATTATACATCAGCAGGTGTTTGGGCTTGAATCAACACATGTTTATTTCACTTGGTATTAAAAATAGCATGTAAATCAGATGTTTGGGCTTGAGCCGCATTTTTTAAATTGGGCTCATTGGGCCTGAGCAAGTTATTGGACCCAATTATCTTCAAGACTAGAACCATGGAACCGAATCGAGCCGATCCCTCACACTTCGGTTTGGTTTTTATTTTTATTTTTCATCAGTCTGGTTTGGTTCCCGTTTTTGTGGAATGGTTTGGTTCCAAAATACTTCCAATTTTCCAAACCAGTCCGAACCAAACCGTGTGCACCTTCTCCACGTCCCTGTCGAACGTACCCACTAGGCAATACTGCAGAATCTCTCGTCTTCTTGCAGTACAACGATTGTCTACCTTGAATGTTACCCCACTCACCAACTGTAGTTGCTTGACCTCGCCAGCCTTTGGGAACCACGGCAGTTTCTGTACCTCTAGGAACAACGGATCAAGACCATTTTTTCTCTGTTCACTTGATAAAAAAATTTGTAAGTAAATAATACTAAGGGGGCACTCTTTTTTAACTCAATTCAATTAGTGAATTGAGCTTTGAGGCTTTAGTACACACTTGGAAATTGGTTTGGATGAACTTAGTGAAGACAGTAAGTTGTGTACTGGTACGTTCAAAATTTGCACTGGCACTCTCTGTTGAAATTACCCAAAATTCAATTTCATAAAGTTGTGCACCAATACACTTGAAACCTACACCGGGACACCAAGGTGAGTTTTGCATAATTGGATTCCAGAAACATTTCATCATTACTCCTAAAACCTGCAGCGGTACACTCATCAAAGAGCGAAATTGCAATTGTTTGCAGTTCCAAATCAATCAGTTATTCTGGATTGAATGCATGTTGACCTTACTTAGTAAGTCAACTATTCTGAATTGAATTCATCGTGAACTTATTTGCGGACTTAAAATAGCGTTTCTAAGAGGGATTTTGTATAAATATTGAGAGTTAACAAGGCATAAGAGAAAAACAACCATAAATTAGGACCACATGGAAAACCTATAAAACTGTGTTTTGGATTGAGAACATGGAGATTCAACGTTTAATCTGAATTGATTACTCAAGACTAGGTCCTGTGGTTTTTTCGTATTTATGGTTTTCCACATAAAAATTTGGTTGTCTTGTTACTATTTCTCTTTACTTTCAATCACATGTATGCATGATTGATTGTTAAGCCAGATTGAGAATTAACTTGGTGATGATATAAGTTTAATATCAATCAAAAGAAGTCTGTTCACTCCCCTCTAGGCCGTATGCATCAACTCACAAATTGTCTAAATTGCATGTGCAATGGCATTCACATATCAGATGTCCTATGATGTTTGGGCTTGGCAATTATTCTATTGTGGTTACATAGTAATTGCAACTACTAATTGTGTCTGCTGTTTTTAAATAAGTTACATTTGATTTCTTAATGCTTCCCAAAAGTAGTTAATTTTTAATATACAAACTTGTGACATTTGCAGAGTTATTCAGTTGGGATGCTGATGCTACTCCTTAATGGATGAAATTTGTGTTTGTGTTTGTTTTTGTTTTGCTAAGTGACGGCTTTATGCATGCCCTTCTTTATCTCTTATAGTGTCTTCTGATGTACCACCCTTCTCAACAGTGTGATTAACTCGTTTCTTTTTGTAATTGTAGCCAAAGATGTATAATTTAAGAGACACACACACACACACACACAAAAGAAAGAAAAAAAATTTGAAAAAAAGAAGAAAATAAACTGCAATTCTGACTTTTGCATTCTCATCCTGATACTTAAAAAAGTTTATTTAGATGAAGAAAATAAAACAAATTATTTTTGTTACTGCTGTATTCAAGAACCCGTATTTATAGTCTACATGATAATGCCAAATTCCCCAGGTGAAATAGAGCTTCTCCTTGCCTTCTTACCTCATTATTTTTGGGTTAGCTGAATCAGTTCAAATTTCAATTTCAATACACTGGTCTGTATGTGATGTAAGTTAATGAAATTTGTTGGTTTCTCAATGCTTGTGATAAGAACACACTGATAAATCCTTGGTGTTTTCACTTTACTATTTCACTTTACTATTATTTATTATTAATTTTTATTGATTTGGTAGCAAATAGTGATAAATCCATGGTGTTTTCACTTTACTATTTTTCATAATTTTTTATTTTATCTTATTTATTATTAATTTTTATTGATTTGGTTGCAAACAGTGTGTAGCCCACATTGGAATTCGAGATGGTAAAAAGTGGAAGTATTCGGCATTATTGTGTGGATCATATTAACGTATTATTTTGAGTTTCAACACAATTACTTCGAGTCTTGAACTAATTGTCTTGAATCACAATTTAGTATATGTTTGAGAGCATTGAATCGAATCGGTGTCTTAGATTTGGTATCGGAAAAGTTTTGTTCAAAATTTGTATTAAATTTTTTTCAAACCTAAAATCGAAGCACAGATTTGATGGGTTAATGCTCACAACTTGCAAGAGAACAACTTGCAAGAGAATATCTGATCTATAAACTAGATAGTGGATGAAAACTGTCCTCATCCCTTCATAACCCATGTGGTTTGACAGCTATTGTAGAATATCATTTCATTACAAAATACAAATTGCTCACCTTATCCTAGTTTGCCTCATTTCTACTTTGTATTTCCACCTTTCAGTTCAGGTGCTGAGGTTTGCATCCAATTTAATGACTCAAACCTCAGTCAAGTTTCTAAATCATGTCCTTTGAATCAAGTTGAAATTGAAACAAATGTTGTGTTTAGTTGCACAAAATTGGAGTTTTAGAATTGGAATTTGTGTAATTGGAGAAAAGTAATTAATAAAATTGAATTAATTTTTTTTTTTTCAATTTTATCAATTCCAATTCCATATTGCTGAACATAAGGTAAGTGAAATACCGTATAGTAGTCGATAAATGTAATCTACTAGTATCTTTGAGAAATACAAATAGTTGATAGTTGTAATCGACTAGTGTCTTTTCAATTTCTCAAAGTAAGAAAGAGGCAAGAATTAAATCTCAACATATTATCAGTACTGAGATGTTGATATTGTTTGTCACATATTGGTCTCATGGGGCCCAGGTTTCCCCACGAAAAGAGTACACATAAGGCAAAGCTGGTAAAAAGATTTTTAAAAAACTTTTGTTAGCTAGGCATTGTTTTTGTTGTAACGGTAATAGTGCTTTTAACAGTAAAATGTAATAAAAGTGTTGTTACAGATGTTTGGTGATATATTATATAAAGCACTTGTTATGCATAAAGTATTTTTAAATTTATTTGGTAACACCCATATGGTACTAAACGTGTGCATTAAACAAATGTAATTTTATTTCCTTAAATTAATAACTTGAAAAATGTTTTTTATTAATCCGCTAAAGATGCACTTTTATAGAGGATTCTTAATAAAAATAAATAAATAAATTCTTGAGATATTATTGTATGTCTTTGAAAAATTGAAAATATTTAGGATTTAGAATATTATAAGCTAAATATATAGTCAAAAACTCGTTAGATGTTAACCCTCTACTCAAACGTGATTTTAGAAGCTCCAATTTTCAACTTCATCAAAACGCGCCTTTTTGGGTATCTAATTTTTACCCCCAAACACCGCTAAATACTATTTTTAAAATTGAACGCACTTTTATTGGCTACAAACGCAATCCTAAACTGGGCTTAAGTATTGGAATTACCCTTGGAGCTTAGATGAAGAATTGATAGCTAGAGTCCACTAGCTTTCAAAATATTTGATGTGTTATGTTTTACATTTTTCTTTTTTTGTTTTTATTTTATTTTAAATTAATCTAAGGAGTATTCGGGTTTTGTCAGATTAATTCTCAAGGACTGAAGAAGGGTGCCTCCTTACGCGGACCAGAAAAGTCGTCCTTGGTTCACGCTTTGTTGACATTTTTCATTTTTACTTTTGGTTTAAAAATGTGGTAGCAGTTGAGTTACAGATGGGAGATCAACCTAGAAAAGGTTAGGGCAGGTGGTGCACTCTCTTAAAATCAGTATGTTTTAGTTAGGGGTCAGGGTTTGGTGGATTAGCGAGATTGAGATGTGTCGTCGTTTCCAAAGTTGTTATCTATTTCATTCGAAAAACAAAATTAAATTACATCAAAGAATCTTTCTAAATTGCCACATTCAATTGAGTTACGATGACAAGGGACTCTTCTTAAATTTGGTCATTTTCACTCAGAATTTCTATCCTACTTTGAAAAGTGGCAAGTGCTGTAAAAGAATAGTTCTCCGTGATTGGTTCATTTCTGATTGTAATTGATAAAGACGTGGTGTATTAGTTTCTTATCAAGACATAAAGAAGAGGAATGATATGGGACTTTTTTTAAATTTGGTCATTTTCACTCGATTTTTATCCTACTTTCAAAAGGGGGGAGTATTATTAGAGAATAGTTCTCCGTGATTCGTTCATTTTTTATTGTAATTGATAAAGATATGGTGTATTAGTTTCTTGTCAAGGTATAAAAGAGAGGAATGATATGGGACTTTCTTTAAATTTGATCATTTTCACACGATTTTTTATCCTACTTTGAAAAGTGCAAGTACTATTAGAGAATAGTTATTCGTGATTTGTTCAGTTTTTATTGTAATTGATAAAGACATGGTGTATTAATTTCTTGTTAAGGTATAAAAGAGAGGAATGAAAAAAATTAAAAAAAAAAAAAAAAAAATCTAGAATCATAAATATTTTATCCCTAATTCTTCCTAAATCAATTTTGATCTGTTTTTTTTTTTTTTTCTTTTTTTTATTTTGTTTTATAATAGGGTAAAGTGTAAGAAAAATTCCCCGAAATATTATAGTTTTCTACAAATAACCCCCTAAACTACAAATTGTCCCCTTGAACTAATTATTTTTTGCAATAAAGGACAAACCATCACAAAAGACTATTTTATCATTGCTTATTAAATTTGTTATTTCTTATTAAATTATTTTTATTATCTTTTCTCTTATCTAAATTTGATTATATCATTTACCTTAATTTTATTATTCGTATCAATTTATCTCAAAAATGAAAAAAATTAATAAATAGAGTTGTAATTATCATTTTATAAAATGATTAAGTAATTATTAAAACTTTACTATTTATAATAAAGCTTATTATACTTGGTTTAAACTTTTTTATTGTAAAAAAATACATTCTTTTCATGAATATGAAAAATTAATAAATTACTTAAATAAAAATATATATTATTTTGTGCAATATATTCATAAAAAAAAAGAAATTAATTAAATTATCTTAAAATTTTCTAATTAATTTTTTATTTAAATAATTAATTTCAAGAATTAAAGGTAAATTTAAGCAGATTTAATGAAAAATATGTCATCATACTAGTATGAATATTTTTCATAATTTATTTTAAAATGAAAAATGAATTAAGTGTAATTCAGGGTATCATGGTAATTTAATGAAAAATAATCCAGGCATGGGGGCATTTTTTTAAGAAAATGTGATAGTTCAAGTGGAGTTCTACACAAAGTATACTTTTTTTTCTTAGTTGGTATTCACACATACATATCTCTTTCGAGATTTGAACCTCTGACCTTCCTTTGAAAAGTAAGAGACTAATACCAATAGGCCACTAGCTCGTTGGTCACAAAATATACTTCAAAGGAAGATTTTACAAATTCAAACATACTTCCTTTTTTTTTTTTTTTTGCACTTTATCCTTCATAATTTAGAATTTTATAGTAATATGGATATTTTTTAATGACAATTATATTTAGACTAGTGGGAATTAAATAAATAAATTGGAATATGCTGTTAGGAGTTGGAACAATGAAAACAGGACAAATGCCAAACACTATAGGAGGAAGCCAACAAGAATAGTAGAATACCCCATCTTTCTACTTTTTCTTTTGGAAAATAACTTAATAATGGTACTATATTTTTGCACTAGAAGCATTTTAGTGTTTTGGTCATTTCACTTTACTCAATTTGTTGTAGGGGCTTGGATGTGTCCTTTTTTAATGGCTTGTTTTGTTCTTTCTTGTATAGATTACAAAGAACCTTTCTTTTGGTTCCTTTAGACCAGGCCTGCAAGAGAAAATTGAGAATGACCATACCTTCTGTTAAATATAAAAGAAAGAATTGTATATTATATTGATGTGTAAAGTATGAAGGTTCATAAGGGTTTATATAAGTGATGAGATGTGACGGCCCAAATTTTTCAACCCAGTGCGTTAGTGATGAACCGAAAGTGATCCGATAACGAATCTGAATTGCGGAAGCTAATGATAAACCAAGGTCTTAAAAGATAAGAGTCACTCCTAAGACACAAATGTGACCCTCCATGAGGTCACGAAACTTAAAGAGGACAAAAACGGAAACAAATGTCAAAAAGGACAAAATTTGCTATCCAAGGGGCAAAAAGGTCAATTCACTATTAAAAGGAGAAACTTGACTCTAAACAAGTCAAACAAGGTTAATACAACCTAATCTAATCATTTTGAAATATTCCAAGAGGTTCCATAGACTTTGGCTAAGAGTCCCACAAAATGCGCCGTCCCGGTTGAAGTGAAAACTGACACTACTTCACTAAAATATACATAACTCCCACTGTGTTTGGAATTTGAGAATGGGATTGGTACCATTAGAAAGCTGACTCAAAATTCTTGAGTTTAGGCTCAAGAATCACCCTATTTGGATTAGAAACGAAGAAATTATGATCCGTTGAAGTCGGATAATCAGTGCTGAAACTCAACAGAGGCAAGGCTCGGGTTCTAGCTATTTCGGTCGACCGAAATGGACTTTCAGATGACCGAAATGGAAGTACTAAGACCTGAAATCATGAAGAAAAGGTTCGTGTTGCTTCGGTAGACCGAAATAAGGGTTCGGTCGACCGAAATGACCATTGAACAGTGTATTTGACTATTGGGATGTGAGATTACTGTACAACTACCAAACCATTAACCATCGGTCGACCGAAATGGAGTTTCGGTCGACCGAAACACCTCGAAAACCTGCTGCTGAACCTGCTATCTGCTGAAGGTGCTAAAGTTCCACTTCAACTTGAATCCCATGATGCCTTATTTCAAAATGAATGCATAAAACTGATTGCTCAATGAAAAATGGATATGTGAACATGCTAACATCTTTGCTATGGATATTTGAATACAAAATAATGACCCATGCCCTCATACACATCATTTACAAGATTTTGATATCTCAAACCTCAAATTTTGATTAAAAGACATTTAAAGCAAAACTTTGATACAAAAAATGTTTAAGTACAAAAATGGACATTTTTGGCCCTTGGCCTCTTTACATACATATTTAAAATGTCAAAAGCAAAATATTTGAGTGTTATTACATATCAAGAAAGTTACTAAAGCTCCAAATGTACCATACACCCATGGCATTCAAAATATGATATCAAAAGTCAAGTCGTGCTAAACACTTGCATGTTAATATACAAAAATGCTTCAAATAGCTCAAAAGCTTCTAAGGATGATGAGCATCCACGAACATGGTCTCCTTACCTGAAAAACAACACAAACCACTTGGGTAAGTAATCAAGTTACTCGTAGGAGAAGCATATGCGTATACCCTAAAGTTTCAATATCATTGCAAGATCAATATAGACGAATACAAGGGATCATTTCACTTAACGTCTATGTTTGAGGTGTTCT